ATGAGGAGGGATACAGAGGTGTGTTGGAAAAGGAGGGACTCGAAGAAAAGAGGGAAGGAAGAAACTAGTTCTCTGTATAAGGTCCTTCCTTTAGAGCTGGCCCGTTTTCAGCTTTGAAATGGAGGCCCCACCGACAGCTATACTGGAGCTGACATTGATACGAGGGAGGTAGAGCCACTAATGAATAACAATTACTCTCATACCCGCAGAAGTGGACGTGTGTGGAAATTCTAATCCCTGCAAGAGTTCAGAGCAGTGCGTTAACATAGCAACTGGACCGGAGTTCTACAGTTGCAGTCCAGGCCCCTCTCCCACCAACACACCAACAAGTGAGTTTGCCTAGCCAAGGAATACTTCATGGACTACGGTATTATATGAGGCAGTCTCGGTATTGTATACACGGGCACCTCAGAGTGGGTATCGTATTTCCCTGTTTACCCTTCCAATATAATATGAAACCCCTGTCCTTCCTCTAAACTGAGAGTTTTACATTCCTCCAGCCAAGGCCCCCTCTAAACCAACAAGTTCCACAGGTGTAACAGCTGGAGTTGTGGCCGGCTGTGCTGTTTTGCTCCTTACTCTCTGCATCCTAGTCATCGTCTTCATCCTGGCCCTCAGGAGAAGATTAAACACACAGACTGTTGCCTTTAAAGGTACCCTATATAATATATGACTATATGCCTTCAGTATTGTACATCACGATGTGCAGTGACACATCGTGAAGTGCATTCTTGTGTGGTTGCCTACCTGAAACAGAGGCCACATGGTTGCCATAGGTTCTCATTTCAATAGCTCTTCACCAGAGACATGTTGTGGTGTGTGGTGTTGCTTATCATCGGTGTGTCTCTAATTGATGCACAGGGAGCAGAGATGATAAGAACGGGGACTCGTACAGTCGCGAGTCAGGTCTCGGCGGCCTCATGGACAACCCCATGTATGAGGTCAGCATGAAGGGAACACACCTCCCCCTCGGCAAGAGCTCCTCCCTCGAAATGGGGGTGGAGTATGACGTCGATAACCCTCTCTACATGTTGGGGATTCCAGGAGACCCATCGGGCAACGGGTCAATCCGTGGACACGACTATGACTATGCGACACCAGACGAGGTCCAGCCTACTTCCTTTGTCCCCCTCCTCGGGAAGGAGTTTGAGATGTATGCCGAGCCCGACATTGGCCAGCCACTCTCCCCCGTCCTCTCCTCCCCTTACTCTCACCCTCGCTCCCAGCACCAGTACCAGGAGCCGCCGCCCACTCCACCTCACAAGCCAGGGCCCATCTACGACGATCCACTGTCGTTACCAGAGATCAAAGAGGCCAGCCCCGCTAATTTAGAGAATCACTACGAGACAGCAGAGGATGTGTTGGAAGCAGCAAATGATCCCCAGTACACTATATATGACAGCGAAAAAGAAGAGAACTAGAGTTCTCCCAGGCAGCTCTTTCGTCCTCAAGAATGTCATTTGAACACACAGCCACTATTCATAGATTGCATCATCATTCATAACATAAACGTGCTAAGCACATTGATTCTCTTATGTAAACACAAAGAATTTTCATTACTGTCTGACGGTGTAAGAGGAATGCTCATGTTTCTTGTCAAACATTGTAGGAGGGTAACTTATGAATATCGGAGTCCAAACGTTCACTATCTACAGCTAGTCAAAGCAATCCCTGCACACCACATGCTCCCATGTGTCCTTACCACAACTGGTGGATCTGCTTCACATTGAAAAGTGCATGGAATTAATTCTTGAATGCAACAAACCACCAGAGGGAGTGCGGTTGGAGAGAACATAGCTGTATGTAATGTAGGCCGCCGCGACTTCTGCTATTCTTGGCTCAAGATAGATTAGCAAGAGCTGGAAGTTGGGGCTGGCAGTGTGGCTGGCTCGTAGCTGTATATATACACACATTGTACTGCATAACTTGATGAAATCTATTCCAGCATTGTGTTTTCTTAAGTGTATTATTTTAACACCACCTCAGCTATTCATTGAGGTAGAGTGTAAATGTGATACATAAGACTCCTCCCACTGCAAGAGGTGTTGCTGCCCACTATATATATAATTTCTAGAACCTCCCAACTTTCTCTCAACCAGCCTCAACCCTGGCTTAGTGGGTATCCCATGCACACTTGCACAATACACTCCCCCTGTCCCACAATTCATTGGAGCCTTTGCTGAGTGTACTGCTGCAAAACGCCAAATCATTATTTGCCAGTGAAGCACCTGCTCAATTATTTTCGCAGCCACTGTGAATCCCCTCACAGTCAATATTGTAGTGTGGGGGACGAGTGTTGACTTATCGGGGCGCCAGCGGGGGAGCTGTTTGAGTCATTCATGATCGGAACTGACACACCTGCAGCCCTAAAGACCACCCACCCCTCCTCCACGACAGAAACAGACAGATCCACTGCAGTGACATTGATTTTTTTAAAATTGTAGAAGGTAGTTTTAAAGGTTTCTGCATAAAATTTAAAACTATTCTTAACCCTTAGGATTGAGCTGAATGAAAAGTATATAGCTACTATAGTGTCAGCATGGGATCTCATTGCGTGAGTGCTCAAGAAAAAATAATGTGCATACCACATCATTTCCATCACAGCCATATTTTTCTATGCAAGACAGCTGATGTATTCAACAATTATTATATAGTACTTACCTGCTGCAGATAAAACACCAAGACCTCAACGTCGTAATTTTACGAAGGCCTCGAACGTTATTGCGCATGCGCATTAATAAAAATCCGTTCCAGCACGTGATAATCGTCCAATCAGAATGCAGTATCTTCTCGTAAAGCAGCCCCACCTTCGTTTTCCGCAACAGTCCTGCAGCTTTCTCGCTCCGACCAGTCCTCGAGAAAGACAGCGTCAAAATGATTCGCATAGCAGCCGCAGTGCTAGTCGTTTTTTCGATCGGCAGCTTCATGCCCGTAAGTCAAAAGTCCTTGCGGACGCGCAAATCCGGCGGCGAGTTCATTGATGCATTTTGCATTTGCAGGCTCCCGCGGAGAGCGCGGCGGAGTGGGAGGTGCAGCTCATCCGTTACTACAACCGATACTCCTGGATTTACTACACCGACACCAGCTACTACTACTATAACAGATACGGCTACTGCTGCGACGTCACCTGGTATTATTACAGTAGTTCCTACTGCAGATACTACCAGTGCGACAACTACTTCGACATCTGCATCCGCTCCTACGGCGCATACACCGTAGACACCACTTCCTCCTGTACTTTCGGGCAGAAGCAAACGCCTATTGCCGGGGACGACAGTTTCTCGTTCTCTTCAACATCCATCGGCTTAGGCTCGACCACCATCGACAACCCCATCATTTTCACTTACACCGGCAACACTAGCCCGGTGAGTCCTGATTGATTTGCGCATGCGCGGTGGACACTCGACACCCTGCCGAAAGATGAGTAACCAAGGTTTTTGCTAATAATTACGGTTTAAGTGATGTTTATGATTTGATGATGCAAACTACCAATTTGTCTTTTTCAGTATTACTACCAGCTATTCTACAAGGTGTGGGATGAAGATGGTACCTACGATGCTCTTGTAGACTACAGCTACTCCAACTTCTATTACCCCACCAAGAACTATAACTACTACAACTACATGTATGGCCGCAGTGGAGGCACAAATGTCTACCTCTACGTCCGTCACAAGTGGTACTGCCCAAGCAACTACTACGACACCTACTGCACAAGATACTGTGTCTACACGGACGATTCAACCGGCCATTATACTTGTGATGGCAATGGTTACCCCATCTGTCTGAACGGGTGGACTGGAACCTCCACCTACTGTGTGACTGGTCAGCAACACTTAAAGTTTACAACATCTGTTGAACAAAACTGTTCATTAACCCTGCAGCAATCTGTAGCCAAGGCTGCCATGAAGACTATGGCGGCTGTACCGAGCCCTATACTTGCAAGTATGTAACCTAGCCTAAGCTCTACACTCATAGCGACTGGGCATCATTTCCATACCTTCCAGTTGTATTTCCGGCTGGACCGGTGCCAATTGTACCGAATGTATTCCCAAAGACGGATGCGGTGAGGAAATGTCTACTGGCAGTGTATTAACCTATAGTGGGATGTGTGGGATTTGTAGCCCAGTAGTTATACTTTCACTAATGAGCTTACCAAAGAGAAAAGCTGGGTTCTTGCTCTTTTTAACTTCTGGCTTGTGTAAAACAGTTGTCTTTGTTTAATGCAACAACAGACCCAGTAGGTGGCTACTGCAATCTAGCAGAAGAGTGTTTCTGTAACTTTGGCTATGCTGGAGATACCTGCAGCATTGGTAAGCCATGAGCTAGAGACCAATCCCTGCCATAGTAACATTCTCATATACCCGCCTCCAGACCTATACCCCTGCCAGCGTAATCCCCCCTGCAGTAATAGTGCCACTTGCATAAACAATGGTCTCGGTGACTACCTCTGCCAGTGTCTGGACGGGTATACTGGTAAAAACTGCGACACTGAGATCAATGAGTGTGATCCAAACCCTTGCCAGAACGGCGGGACATGCACAGTAAGTATAAACACTCTCATCAGAAGAAGGAGGCCGTACTTCATTGATTTATCTTTCTCCAGGACCAATTGGCAGATTATGAGTGCACGTGTGTAGATGGTTACACAGGGGACGACTGCGAGGAAGAGGTCAACGAATGCGTCCCCAATCCATGCCACAACGGCGGCGTCTGCATGGTAGGTAGAGAAGCATAGTAGGTGGAGGACTGTATCAAAAACAATACATTTCGCCCGAGTGCAGGACCTACTGAATGGCTTCTCTTGTGTTTGTGGCTATTCGTACACTGGAGAGCTCTGTGACGACACCATCGACTTTTGCGCGGATGATCCATGTCTCAATGGAGGGAGTTGCAATGTGAGTTATTTATTCCTTTTATTTGACCAACCACACTGCCGGTGCCTGCACAGGGCTTTGTTGGAGGGTTCACCTGCCACTGTCCTGTTGGCTTGTTCGGTGATCGCTGCCAAGTGGATCACGACTACTGTGCCAGTGATCCGTGTGTTGAGGGATCCACTTGCCATGTAAGATATTCCTCTCGTGATTTGGTAGCATTTTACCGCTTAACTATATATAGGACGTGGAGGGTGGCTACCAGTGTCAATGTGCAGTAGGATTCACTGGCCAAGATTGTGGCACAAACATCAACGACTGTGAGCCTACCAGCTGTAGTGCCTATGGTGAATGCCACGTGAGTTCATTTCACTCCAGACACGGTTGAGTGTATCAGCTCACTCTCTGTATAATATAGGACCTAGTGGATGGGTTCACGTGCGTCTGTGATCCAGGCTACACCGGAGAAACCTGTGCTATTGACATCGATGACTGTGCAAGTTCTCCTTGCCAGAATGGGGCCACCTGTACCGTGAGTCAAGCCAAAGAGCCTCACTGCCAGAGCACACACATCCCTCTCCATAGGACAAAGTGGACGACTTCCACTGCCTCTGTGAGCATGGCTATGACGGACTAATGTGTGAGAGGGACATCGATGAATGTGACCCGATGCCTTGCCAACACGGTGGAACATGCACCGTGAGTTAAAGATTTTCAGTCTCTTGTCAAAGTGAAATCTTCTTTTCCCACCGTAGGATGGAGTCAACATGTACACATGTGCATGCGAGCCTGGCTATTACGGACAGAGCTGCGAGACAAATGTGAACGAATGCAACACTCATCCCTGTGAAAACGGCGGAAGCTGCATTGTTAGTTCTCCTGCCACACAAATAAAGAGGACCAGAAACTATCTCTCTCATTCTATCTATTTCTGCAGGACGTTGTGAATGGGTACACGTGCAGATGTATTGTAGGCTATACCGGCAACGAATGTCAGGATGACATCAACGAATGTGCCGACTCAGATATCTGTGTCCATGGAACGTGCACGGTACATACAGCACATACTTACAGTTGGTCACCTTTTTCACGATGTCACCTTATTTTTTAGAATACCGAGGGGTCATACACCTGTGAATGTGACACGGGCTTCGAGGGAGATACCTGTGACATAGAGATTGACGAATGCGAATCCGACCCATGTGCCAACGATGGAATCTGCATTGTATGTGTCTCCCACCACACCTCCACATGAGAGGTGACACAGGCAGGGGTAAAGTTCAATGTTTTGCCGTGTGCAGGATGATGAGGGGCGATTCCACTGCATTTGTACTGATGGCTGGGCTCAGCCAGACTGCAGTGAGGAAACTGACGAGTGTGAAGAAGGTCACTTCTGCCAGAATGGAGCTACCTGTATGGTAAGTCACAAGTCCAAGAACGGGTTTTTGTTAATCTCTGTCATCCCTCACAGGATGAGTTTGACGGCTTCAGCTGTACCTGCGCTGTTGGCTGGAGTGGATATATCTGTGCTAACGATGTTGATGAGTGTATTGCCAATCCCTGTGAGAACGGAGGCACCTGCTATGTAGGTTGAGACCGGCTAACCAGAGCCAGTCACTAACCCACTCATTCTGCCCCCCAGAACACCCAGGGAAGCTACACTTGTGGTTGTGCTGCTGGGTTCTCTGGATCGAGGTGTGACGAGGAGCTGGACGAATGCGAATTGGACCCCTGCCAGAATGGAGCCAACTGCTATGTCAGTAGACTATGAACCTTTCTAGTGACTGTATGTGTGTTTTGTGCTGTGTCTACAGGACTTGGTCAATGACTATGGCTGCCACTGTGATCCTGGGTACTCGGGCAAGAACTGCGAAAATGATATCAACGAGTGTGACTCTGTCCCATGTTTCTATGGCGCCACTTGCCAGGTTAAATTGTGTTTTTAGCGATAAAAGAGAGAAACTAAAAAAAGGGGTGTTGCTCTCGTACTGTATGTCGCTGGATGGGATACACTTAGACATGCGTGACTACAATGGGAGGAGATTATATTCATATCCTATGATTACTAGTAGCGGACACTCAGTGGTTGGGGGTCTTCTATAAGAACTAACACGAATTCCGCCAATAGTTGTGAAAAGCTAAAACAAACAGCATGTGACTTACTTGAAGCAGCTCAATCTCAATCGTGATTCTTTACTCTCCTATGAACACACTGCAGGACCTCCTGAATGGGTTCAACTGCACATGTGCTCCAGGATATGTTGGTGGCCAGTGCCAAGTGAATGTGGATGACTGTGTATTGAGGCAACCCTGCCTCAATGGAGGCAGTTGCTATGACCTTGTTGATGACTACCTGTGCGTCTGTCACAATGACTATGCGGTAAGTACCACATGAGCCATTTGACGACACAGGTTGGGCTACATGCTCACGGTGTGTCCTACAGGGCACGGATTGTCAGGTTGATCTGAACACATGTCGCTCCTCTCCCTGCCACAATGGAGGAACTTGCATCAACGGCGACAATGGATTCACCTGCGCCTGCCCAATTGGTTTCCAGATGGACTTTGACTGTCTCTCGGATGTAGACGAGTGCGAACAGGGTCGCTGTAATGCCGCCACATATATCAGCTGCACGGTATGAACCTGTACACCAGTGTTTTTCAGCTGTCTAGACACCTTTCTCTGTTCCCCAGAATCTTGTGGGAAGCTATGATTGTACCTGCAAGCCAGGATTCACGGGCCAGAACTGTGACATTGAGATTGACGAGTGTTTGGATACTCCGTGTTCGAATGGAGGAACTTGCCAGGTGCGGCAGAGTCTCAGCTCGCTTTATATATCAGCTGTGACTGTCTCTCTTGCACACCAACTGCAGGACTTTGTGAATGGCCGACGCTGTATCTGTTCTTTGGGGTGGCAGGGAGATGACTGCTCCAACAATATCAATGACTGTGACCTGGATTTCTGTTCAAACGGAGGCACTTGCATTGTATGTGTTATCACAATTGGTGTGGTCCCCCCGGCTACGCTTCCTCTTCTCCTCGCAGGACGAAGTAAACGGATTCAACTGCAGCTGTGCAATAGGGTTCACAGGCCGGACATGTGACATTAACATCGATGATTGCACCATGAACCCTTGTGAAAACGGCGGCTCGTGTGTGGTATGCCATTTCTTTTTTCTCTGCCTTCTGATAATAGTTTTACGCTTTTTCATTCTGGCTTCTGAACATTTTATTGCTTTATTCCCATAGGACGGAGTGGATTCATACACATGTGCTTGTGCTGAGGGTTTTGAAGGGCCCCACTGTGCGGAAGACGTCAATGAGTGTGAGAGAGACACTCACCTCTGTGAGAACGATGCCACATGTGTCGTAAGTCAAACACCGTACCACATCACCTTGAGGGATATATATACCACTGTGTCTTGTTTGTTGCCAGAACGAGTTTGGAAGCTACACCTGCTACTGCACCCTGCACACCGGTCCATTCTGTACAGAAGACGTTGACGAATGTCTTACCACAGACTTCTGCGCCGTCGGTGGCACATGCACTGTGAGACTCTAGAGATAGATTTGTAAAGGACCTCTTGACTCTGATATTTCTGTGATTCTCTCTAGAACAAGTTTGGAAGCTGGGATTGTGATTGTATGACAGGCTACATGGGAGACAGATGTGAGGAGGATGTTGACGAATGTCTTGACACTCCCTGCGGTGCTGACGGAACATGCACTGTAAGTTCATCTATCCTTTACCACAACCCAGCAATGATGGCTTCTAATGTAACACCTTCACAGAACATGATGGGAGCATATGAGTGTGCGTGCAAGGACGGCGACAAGGGAATGGCCTGCTATGACGACTGCGATCCCAATCCTTGCAAGAACGGAGGAACTTGCACCGTAATAATCACCTATTATTGTAGGGGTACTGGTGTTTCAACGGGTGTCCCCTCTGCAGGACAAAAGTAATGACTACGATTGTACGTGTGTTGACAAGTACACTGGGAGGAATTGCACTGATGACGTCGTAGGTTAGATTCCAACCACATTCTGTCCACGCAGTGTTTCATCTTTCTTCCATTGTTTCTGCAGATGAAACTAGTGCCCAGGTGTCCGCTGCATCTGCTGGTGTTGTTGGAGGTGGAGTGGTTGCAGCTCTGATCGCTATTGTTGTCATAATGGCAATCATCATTTCCATCCTGGTCATCATGAACAAGCGGAAGAAGACCAAGGCTGGCAACGAGCCAGGTATATACTCAACTAGTACAGTTCCTGCTAACTGGAGTCTTTGTTTCTTTTCAGCTTTTGAGTACACCAACATGCCACCGCCCATCAACGTGGGAGACAATCCCATGTACATGGGAGCTGACAAGGTGGGAGCTGGCTCCGGACCCCCCTCCTCCCAGAACACCCTCTCTCGCCAGTTCATGAACCCTCTCTACGACTACGATGAGGATGAAGGTATTACATCAGCCACGAGAGACTGAGAAGACAAGTGTCTTAACTGTACTCCCCCTATCCACCTTGCAGGTGATGCTACTGTTCTCACCAACCCCAAGACCAAGCAATAAACTACACCTCTACCTTTTTGAAACAAGTCGACTTTATTATATTACTTACAATGCATAGTTTTACGTTAGTCGTACTGTATATCTGATATACCAATAGAGCTTGTATTGTATATATATTTCTGGTGCCATAATTATTTTGTTTATACTGAGTCACGAGCACACCTGAAGCCAAGATTTGAGGCAGAGCTGTCTGGAGAGTTCTGGCTCCTAGCTGCACACCTATAGCGGTAGCAGTAATAAGGGTGGCAGATGTAGGACCCTCCTTTCTTGACCTTGTCCTTCCCCGAGGGTGGACCGACAGGGTCGCTCTGGAACTGGTCCGAGTGTCTGATGCTCCACCAGTCACCCACCCACTCCCACACGTTCCCCGCCATATTGAGGAGACCGTAGCTATTTGGCGGGAAAGAGTCAACCGGTGCTGTTCCGATGTACCCGTCCTCTGCCGTGTTCATCTCGGGGAAGTCTCCCTGCCAGATGTTCATCCAGTGTTCACCACGGGGTAAAGCACTGTTACCCCAGGGGAAGAGCCGGTCCTCCAGACCTCCGCGAGCTGCATACTCCCACTCGGCCTCTGTCAGGAGCCTTCCACCAATCCACTCACAGAACCTGACGGCATCGTTCCACGACACGTGGACCACGGGGTGGTCTAGACGATCAGCAGTAACGTCAGAGTCTCCCCCCTCGGGATGTCTCCAGGAGGCCCCCTCCACGGGAAGCCACCAGGGCGCGTTCATGACGGCTTGCGTTATCTCCGACTTGACGGACTCCGAGAGCAGCATCTCCAGCACGAACGAGTTACCGAACGTTTCAGCTTCCGTCACGTAGCCCGTGTCGGAGACGAAGGCCGCGAACTCGGCGTTACTAACCTCGTACCTGTGGATGGAGAAGTCGCTGACTCTCACTCTCCTCGCAGGCCCCTCGCCGTCCTGCGGCAGCACCGGTTTGTCCGTACCCATCACGAATTCTCCTCCGGCGATGCGGACAAACTCATTTTTGACTGTCCTCGGCTCGCTAGCTCTGCCACGATCGCTGTGCTCGCCGTCTTCCTCATCGTTTACCTCCAGCTCTTCCTCTAAGTCGCAGTGCCGCTCATCGCTGCAGTGGCCATTGTCGTCAGCCGTATTTCCCTGGCTCACGGAGACGCAGAGGACGAGAAAGACAGAGCAGACGAAGAGCATCGCGTGTGCGCGGACTACGAACTTGCCCTGCCATGCCATGCCCTCGATCCTAAAAACTGCGCAGGCGCGTAGAAGTTCACATAAAAAAAGTCCAATAAAATTTCGTACATGTTGTGGTGATTGCATTTTCCTACTATTTCTGAGGCATAACAGCTGCCGGGTTGCGCAGCACTAAAATGACAGAGTCTCCACGGAGGAACATCTTTGCAATATTTCTGTCCTTGTTCACAGGCTTTGATTTCTTCTGCCCCTTCCCGGCTCTCGGTGTCTCTGTCCACATTTCCTTCACGTTCTCCAGAACCATGTTGAAGTGTCGGTCAAAGGCCTTCACTCGAGCAAGAAGCTTCCGATTGTTTCGGCAGTTTATTAGAACCTGTACAGGCATGCCACACATACCAGAGGTGTTATATACCCATCACTGTTTTCGCACCTGAGTGTTGTGCTTCACAGCCTGTGTGAGGACAGAGAGTGGGCCAGTTTGGAATTCCTCCTCCTCCTTCTTCCTCCTCTCCTCCTCCGTCAGGTCGCTCTTGGGCTTGTTTCTGGACGTGCGGAGAAAAGGCGCGGGACTCTAAATAAAACCCACCAGCACCGCTTTCTTTTGCAACTCACAGAGACATGATTGCGAGCTCTGGTGTCCAAAGAACGTAGATGCAATAGTTCCCCTAACCAAAAGTAGCCCAGTCTTTTGTACTCTCAATATTCTGCGAAAAAGTCGAGCCCTCGGCCGAAAACGTGACTGCGACGTCAGATCGGCGCATGCGCACAAGCTAACCCGTGGAAGAGATTATGAACGTGCTGTTGTTACTCATCGTGGCGGCGACGGCGCTGCTGCTGGCGGAGGGGAAGGACCAGGAGCTGAGGATCGGAGTGAAGAAGAGGCCAGAGACCTGTGACATGAGGTCTAAGTCAGGAGACAGGCTCTCCATGCACTACACCGTAAGCTCTGCCATGCCTCTGATTCATCTCTTCCACTGCCCCCGCACACCCGGCGAGCATGCAGGGGACGCTGGAGGACGGGACCGAGTTCGACAGCAGTGTACCTCGCAACCAGCCGTTCGAGTTCACTCTAGGCTCCGGCCAGGTCATCAAAGGTGAGGATCATCAATCTATCAATATATCACCTGGCTCGTCCGTTCTCTTTTCAGGTTGGGACCAAGGGCTGCTGAAGTAAGATCTCTTGCCTGACACCGATAGCTTTTGATCTTGGATCATGTGTGTGTTAGTATGTGTGTAGGTGAGAAGAGACGACTGCAAATACCACCTCACTTGGGCTACGGTGATCGAGGGGCTCCCCCCAAAATACCAGGTCCCATTTCTTTTGTTCAGAGGAATTTGATTAATCATTTTTTTTCATGCAGGTGGAGCGACACTAATTTTTGAGGTAGAGCTTCTGAAAATTGACCGCAAATAGATGGTGACTATTGTCGTGATCAGCAAACTGCAATTCTTTTTGCCATTCTCATATAATTACATTTTTGATTTTGGCTCCTCATTGCGCTTAGCGTATTTGAAAAGGACCAAAGGGAGAAGGGTACATATTAGTCTAGGCATGGGGCGGAGGTGGCTATTTTCTGTGCTTTTATTATGCGTGGTCTGTGTATAATAATTTTTTTGTGCACTGACCTTTGTCCTTTTGTGCTGTGGGTGGGGATTCATGGCGAGTGGTGTGGTGTTGTTGGTGAAAACGTCGGTTCTCGTGACAGCTGTGACCGTCATAGGCTGGGGGATCATGAAGACTCTGATTCCTAGTCCAGAGGAGTTCAGAAAGGTGAGCAGTCTGCACGGAGAGTCGCCTCTTGCTGTTGCTGTGCGCGCGCTGTAAAAGCGGCGCATGCGCATACTGTTACCTTGTAACTCCATCCAGGGTTTGTCAGACAGAGAAAGGGAAGAACTGCCAGTCGTTCAAGAGAGAAACCGCCTATTATTCCAGAAACTCGAGGAAACCTCTAAAAGTGCTGAACCATTCTGGAAAAAGTAGCAGCATATAATTATACTGTGAAAATATTTTTTATTTCTCATCGGAAACCAGTGCCTTGCAGTTGTATAATGGCAATAATACTAATAATTCAGAGCTGTGAGATTGTCTTTGTCTCTATTTCGGTCCCTTTTTGCCAGTCTTCTTGAAGTAGACTCTGAGCAGCAGAGCCAGGAAGACCACCAGGACGCCGAGGAAGGACTGCCTGGTGAGGACGTGGTGGTAGAAAATGCAGGACAGGAAGATGCTCATTGCCTGACGGGTCACCATGATGAGAGTGAACACAACAGGACCGAATATTCGGATGGTGTTGAAGATGAAGAGTTGACCGATTGCTGAGCAGACGGAGAGGAGGGCCGCGTGCACCGCAAACTCAGAGTGGAGGAAGAGGAAGTTGAGGCAGGAGAAGAAGACGCCGCGGAACAGGAGAGAGCTGACTGTGAACAGACAAGAGAAGGTGTTTGTGCCAAACATCATCTGAATGGACGAGACCTTGTACGTGGAAAACACCTCTGACTGCCAGTTGGAGCTGAAACTGTCAAATGCCATGTAGCCCAGGAGGATGACGACGCCCGCAAACGTGGTCTCAGTGGAGATGTGGCTGTCGGCTGAGGGGTCTGCTGCTAGGAGAAACAGAGCCACACCCACTGATAGAAGAGCCGCGGTGAGGTACTCGTGCCAGGGGTAGCTCCTCTGGGAGACAATCTTCCCCATGATCATGACGGGGATCACTTTAGAGGCCTTCGCCAGGACCTGCGTGGGGAAGCTGACAAATTTGAGTGCCTCGTACTGGCACCAGCTGCTGAGGGTGTTGGAGATGGATGAGTAAGAGTACTGGTAGAAGGGAGCTCTGTCCCTCGGCTGCTTCGTCAGTCTCAGGTAGATCCCCGCCACGCACAGGGCCAGGATTCTGTTGACAAAGACGAGGAACTGAGAGTCTGTGAATCGCTCGCCGTCATACTCCACTGTCATGACCCTCTCCTGGAGACAATAGTTAACTTTTCATCTGTGCTATATACTGAGCTCGAAATTTCTAGCTCATAGTCATTGAATAGTGACTTCCAATCACGTTTAAAAGGGATCATGCTCGAGATGATGGGGCACCCTCCAATCAAGTCCAGTAATACATACCTGAAGGACTCCCCAGGTGAGGTAAGAGGCTTGGAGCCCCACCACACACACCAGCAGTTTCACCCAGTGCCCAGAGCCTGTTGTCGCCTCTGAGGCTGTCTCCTTGGCCTTGGTCACCGAGGACGAAGCCTTCCCTTCCTCGGCTGTGGCCAGAGCATCCTCATTGACATCGTCTCCAAACACCAGCTGGTGGATGGCAGAGTAGACTGGCCCCTCGCCTAGTAGTGGGTGTGTGGGGAAAATGGAGATCTAAACTGTGGACTATTTTTCTGAGGCCGCTACTTGCAGGAATGGAGAATATTGTATCTCCATATCGCGTGTGAAGGGCTGACCTCTCTGGACGAGAGGGGATTTCTTCCAGTGACGGATGAGGAGAGCCGCAGGGACGAGGATGAGGGCGTAACCGAGGACGTTGAGGAGAAAGCTGCCCAGCCAGTGTTCCTGCACCGCCTCCAGCATGGCAGCTAGCTCTTGTCGGTCAAATGACAAACCCACAGACATATGAGCGGCAATGCTAGCCTCGTACCATCATACTTGGCTAGGCAGGCATGCGATGAAACCTCTCGGATGCGAAACCCCGCTAAGCTGGAGGTGCGCGACAATTAGAATCAACGAAGAAATGGCCGCTGCAGCGAGCTGGGCGGCGAAGCTAAAACTGCACAACCAGAAGCACCCACCGGCTCCAAAGACAGAAGGTAATGCCTACACCTGTCAGATGCATGGAGTCCTAGTGTGTATATGTCTGTAGAGGAACGGAGGAAGGAGGACGAGCGGCTGTTTGAGGAAGAGTACACCAGCCTCAGAGGCGAGGCCGAGAAAAAATACGAACACATTCCCAGGTTCTATTGCAAGGTGGGTCACATGACTCTGGTGTCCACAGGCAGTGGGCTGCCATTGTATTGCTCTGTTCACTATGTCTCAGCCACCTCGCGACGACCAAGTTCTTCAGCAGAAACTGAGGGAAGATGCCAGGTGAGGTCCACCGCTGCTGTGAGTGCAATATTTATTTTTATTCTGCAGAGCTGTGTTTTTGCAGAGGAGGGGCTCAGAACTGATGGACAATGAAGAGCTGACGGTAAGTTGAACCGCATTGCAATCTTGACTGCGTTCCTTGCTCGTGTACTCTCAGAAACTATGGAGCATTCTGGAGGAGAAGCACACTCCTCCTGACCTGGGTACAGACGAACAGGTAAACAAGGGACAGTGGCTGCCTCTCTCTGATGCTCTTTGTGTACCCTGTTCCAGATGATCAGTTACACTGCCTTCCTGAACATCAAAGATCAGGTGTCAGACAAGTGCAAGTGAGCCGTGTTCTTTACATGTCCTCCTCCACAGTCGTATTAACTAACACACACCCTCCTCTCCTTCCATCCTTGCCTCATCCATCACCTCTGCCCCCCTCACTCTCTCTCAGGCCATTCTTCACAGCAGAGGTCTTCACCAAGCTCCTCAGAGATGATCCCTATGGCAGGTTCAGTGCCACCCTGCCCACACACACTAGGGACTCCACAGATACTAGGGGATCTACTGCATGTGTGTAGGGTGTTCCTCTCTCCTTGCAGGGTCTCTGTTTCTCAACTGTTTTCATACATAATGCGCAAAGGTAGGGAAGTTGGCCTGCCTGGCCGGACCATTTGGTGTGTGTGTGTGTGGCTGTGTCTTTTAGTGAAAGACTCAACATGATGTCTATTGATATGTCACAGTGTGGTTACAGCAGACCAGAATAGGACTAAGTCTCTTCGACATACAGGGCCTGGGCTACCTCAAGGAATCGGTGAGTAGTCGGCTTTCCGCACTAGTCCTGGTGTGAGGGGGTGTCCACATACGCTAGTCAATGGATGCATAAATAACTATTTACTACTTGCAGCCAGCCATGTGTGACAGACACATGTACAATGCTCTATTCTGCAGGACCTGGAGAACTATATACTGGAGCTGATACCAACACTGCCACAACTAAACTGTCTTGAAGAGTCTTTCTACTCGTTCTACGTCTGCACTGCAGTCAGGAAGTTCTTCTTTTTCCTCGACCCTCTACGAACAGGTGGGTTTTAGTTCAACTCTGCGTGAAGGTATGTACCGCGGTGCGTGTAGGCGTAACTGCCTGAGTCTCGGTCATATGAATATTGTTACGTCTGTTTGTCAGGACATGTTTTGGTGTGTCATTATCATCCTCCCCCAGGTAAAATCAAGATCCAAGATATATTGGCTTGCGGATTTCTTGACGATCTCCTCGAAGTAAGCCCGGGGTACTAAGGTCAGGTCTTGATTACTGCAGTTAGGTAGTTTCCATACAAGATTACACCCAAGGGGACAAGCGCACACAATGGGCCGTGCTGTTCTGGCAGCTAACACAATGCAATGGTGAAAAGAGGGCATGCAGTGTAATATATTAGGATACAGATGCACACACTCACGCAATACACACAGGTTTACTGTAAGAGAGACATTTTTGGTAGAATGGATCATCTGCATAATATGTGCACCAGCTTGAAAATGTTTTGTGATAAATTGCGCTATATAACCAGTACTGAAAACGACTGGTGGTGTGGGGAGGGTGGAGCTCTCTTTTGGTCTATCTTCGGCTCTTCTTGTATTCCTTAACCATCTTGCCCAGCTCTTCCATAGCTGTGAGTAGCCCGTCGCCCGATACGGCACACGTACCTTGTATGAACCACTGGTGGGTCCGTACGGATGGCAGACCCAGTCTGTTAGCCACCTCCGAAGGCTGGACGGCGCTGGGCAGGTCCTGCTTGTTGGCCAGTACCACCACGGGCACTCCGCGCATCTCGTCCGAGTCCAGAATCCAAAACAGCTCCTCCTTGGCCTCGCTGAGTCGCTCCTTGTCCGCGCTGTCCACCACGTACACCAGGCCCTCCGTGTTGTGGAAATAGTGCTTCCAGAGCGGCCGGATCTTGTCCTGGCCGCCGACGTCCCACACCGTGAACGAGACGCCTTTCACCGGCGTCACCGTCTCTACGTTGAAGCCGATGGTCGGAATGCTGGACACCGCCTCGTTGAGTTTCAACTTGTAGAGGATGGTGGTCTTGCCGGCCGCATCCAGACCCAGCATTAGGATCCGAGCCTCGGATTTGCCCAAGTTCTCCAGCATCCCCTTCAGCTGCGAAATGAAACTCCCCATCTTTTCTCGGAACCCGCTGTGTTTTCTTCTGCTCTTGGCTGCTTTTGCTATAGTTCCTGGGCGGTAGCTGCTTTTTCTAGCCTGCCGTTGGCTGGCAAGACTGCGGTCGACTAGTTTGCGAAGGGCGTTTCGCCGTTGGGAGTTTTGCGTCGACACAATCTGCGTGGCCGCGCGTGCGCACATGAGGGACAATGATTATGCAGCATCACTGTACATTATTCATAGCTGAGAGATGAAGAGCTGTCCAAGGAAAGTCAGGAGACAAACTGGTTCTCTGCCACGTCTTCTCTGAGAGTATACAGTGAGTGAGGAGATGTGTTGCATGAGTGAGCTGACTGGCCATGTTCTCCAGGCCAGTATCTGACGCTAGATGTCGACCATAACGGTATGCTCAGCAGAGGAGAGATAGCCAGGTGAGAGGACCGACCCTTGAGGGGTATACAAAAGACTGATCATTGCCGATACGAAACAGATATGGCTCGGGGAAAATGACGCGAGCGTTTGTGGACAGAATCTTCCAGGAATGCCTGACTTATGAGGGAGAAGTGGTATGTTTTCCACTAACACCCTCCCTACAGTGTGTCCTGCCCTCCATCCACATGTCTCCAGGACTACAAGACATACCTCGACTTTGTTCTGGCGATGGAGAACAAGAAGGAGCCACAGGCAAGTCTCCACAGCCAAGTCAGTCTCCATCATCCTCTGCCTCTCTCCCAGGCCCTCCAGTACCTGTTTCGTCTGCTCGACATTCGAGGACAGGGCTACCTCGACTCATTCACCCTCAACTACTTTTTCAGAGTAAGTGGGAGAGATGTGCCCAATTAGCTCTGATTCCCAGTGAATAAGTTCCTAAGGGTCTCCTTGTGTCCTGGGTTGGCCACCATCAGATAGGCCCCATGGCAACGTGCAGAAATCCTGATTTGTTCTCATTACTCGATGCAGTTCGGATTTCGACTAGTGTGTTGCCTTATCTCCTACGCCACTGTCTCCCTGCTCTGATTCCCAGGCTATTCAGGAGATGATGAAGACACACGGACAGGAACAAGTCAACTTTGAAGACATTAGAGTGAGAGCCACATATCTGAGGAGTGGGCCCAGTTGCGTAATTTGTGTTTCCAAATTACCTGGTGGTATTACATAACACAGTTGCGTAAGGATGGGAATTAACGATCTGGGGAGTTAGCCTCAGTTATGTAACACCTGTGTTTTTCAAATGCAAATTAACCCCCTTGCCTGTGATTAAATACTAATACAACTGTACGTGTGTGTGTAGGACGAGATATATGACATGGTCAAGCCAGCCCAGCCCCTGTGCATAACTCTTCAAGATCTCATCAACAGGTGTATAAACATTGCCTGCCAAACCTGACATAACTATGTGTCATCTCTGTGTGCCTCTCATCTCAGTGGGCAGGGGGAGACAGTGGTGGGAATCCTCTCAGACCTTAGTGGGTTCTGGGCATACGAGAACAGAGAGGTCCTCCTGGCAGAGAACCAGGAGGGCGGGGCTGGGTGATCACATGATAGTCATGTGACTAATCTAACGTATTCCCCTTCTAACACACCACATCTTTTGCTCATTTTCATTCCAACGTTTTCTGACAATATTATATTTGATCACTCCACTCGCTCGTTGTTACACACAAAGTTGTACGACAAATTGCTCTGTGTCAACATGGAATGTTTGTGATGCAGTGTTGCTTCAGCTTCAATGTAGACGGAACAATCTGTTTGTCAGGTGCATGTCGTCAGTATAGCTGGGAATGGAGGAGGGGAATTAAATTATGTGGAGAGACTCAAAAACATTATACAGGTGTAACTTTGTTCGGTACGATGGGTCTGTGCAACATGCTCATGCAACATGTGGTGTAAACCAGTTTACCCACACAGATTGAGACGTTCCCTCACAAAACAAAGTGTGTTGGGCTAAGATAAAGCTGTTGACTGACTTTGTCATGGGGCTGTTGATGTGTGGCAGGCGACGAGGTTGTCTGTGGGACCAGGAGGGAGGAGCGGCGAAACCAGTGCCCCATTTGGGAGGACTGTGACGCACACAGTGGCCCTGAGAGGGGAACATCTGTCTCAGTGTTGACCACTCCTCACAGCGAGAGGAATGAGCCGACGCAAACACTCCACTCTCTTCCTCGGCTCGTGAGAAAGACTTCAGTGGGGCCTCGGATGGAGGGACCCAGTGCTCTGGGACCGAGGAGAGACTTGGCTGGGGCTGCGCAAGGAACTTGTGTCTCGGGACGGGAGCCGTTGCCCTGAGGTTGTCAGGGGTGTACCATCTGTTGACCCACACCAACTGGCTGCATCTGTCTCGAGCCGGGAGCTGTGCGGACCAAGTGTGCCTGCTGTAGCCTGAGTAGCAGCGACGCCGAGGAACTGTCTCCTCTACTTCCATCCTCTCCAGGCTGGAGGAGAAACAGTTCCTCTCAAGGACACACACACACACACACATATAGAGGTGTCTTACCTTCACCTCTATGTATACAGCGTCACAATGGTGGACTGGTGGACTGGTGGACTGAGGAAAGCCGCACACACTTTATTTGTGTGTTTCTAGGGTTACGACCGTAATGATTTACGTCCGTGTCGCATTCCAGTGGAATTAGCTGCCGTGTGGTGCAGCAGTGTGTGTGGTGTGTGTGCATGTACGTGCCTGGTTTATAGTTCAGGTGGACTCGTGAGGATGGCCGAGGCAGGCGAGGGAGAGCCCAAGAGGTGTCCCTGCGGTTTCTGGGGGTGAGTTGGAATCCTCCCGCCGCCGTTTCTCTCCCCTGAATGGAGCGAAACTTACGGCCGTTTCTCTCCCTCCTCCCGTGTAGATCGCCCCAGACTAACAACTTGTGCTCCAAGTGCTACAAAGGCAAGTTTGTACCTGTGCCCATTATCTAGTAACTACGCGTTTTAGGTACTCAACTGGCCCGTTATAAACCGGCAGTGAAAAGACGTGTGTGTGTCTGTTCCCTAGAGTGTCAGCAGCAAAGGAAAGAAGTGGCGAGCGCGAGCGGCGACAAGAACGCCACCCAACTATTGACACAGTATGATCTACTCTCCGGGGGACTGGGGAGCAGCAGAACAGGCTCAGTGGAGATCAGGGAACCCCAGGAAGATCAGAACGAGGGGGAAAATGAGGGGCCAACCAGTGAGACAGAAGCTGACAGAATGGTAAGAAATGAGTGTATGTGGAGACCAGAAATTACCAACTGTTACTGTTTATGATCTCATCACCTGGCGAGCAGTTCAGGAAAAGGGTTAATGACATTCCAATCATTCCGTACAGAACAAAGAGAAGGAGGACGATGCAGGCAATTTTCTCCCGGGTGACTTGCCAGATCAGAGGAATCGCAAGCGGTGCTGGAGCTGCAAGGCCAAGTTGGAGCTGGCTCAGCGGTCGCTGGGGGAGTGCAAGTGTGGTAAGAGGCACATGTTCCCTGGTCCGTGTTCTCACCCCTTTCCTCTTTTCACGAGAGCATATGTAAACACAGCCAGAGAAAAAGGGACGAGTGAGACCAGTGCTTTCAGTTTCTGATTGCCTGGAGACATTCGCTCACTTTTAACTCCCTCTCTACCTTTAGCTCTACTATTAGTCAATTCATGGGAAGCGGTGTGTTTGATGGTTTCACATCACCTTCTACAGGCTATGTATTTTGTTTCCTTCACCGGTTACCGGAGCAGCACCAGTGTGCATACGACCACAAGGAGGGAGGGAGGCAGGAGGCACTCAAGACCATGGTCCCTGCCTCCAAGAAAAAGTTTGGGAGATCATTTCACCGCATGGACTCCAGACCAGAGCAGTAGCCACACCCACATACATGCCTCACACTTCTGGTTTTTGTGTTCCGTTTGATTCTGACTCACCAACTCCTACAACACTTTGCATCTGTACACTTCACTATTGTACTTGGATGAGTATTGTTATTGCCTGCCTGCCTGGATGGACTTTGTTTGCTGAGAGAGGGGCAGAGTCCTCCATGCTTGTATTACCTCGCCATAAGTAACACTAACACATCACAGGATTGATACATACATCCCATGGCCGCAGTTAATGTTACATCCCATGAGTGAAGGGCTCTAAGTCATGGCTGTCATATTATGATGATGATGATGACTAGGCAAGCCACCCACACACACTAAGAGTTCTTCCAGTCTCTCAGATCTCTCTCCTTGGCATCGTGGACTCCTGCCAGAGTACACGTCCAATAAAACGCTGCATTGTGTGTGTGTGTGGCCAGTTGGATTGAGGTGTGTGTTGTGATTGTGGTGATGGGGTTATTACTCAAAGACTCTTTGTGCAAAGGGAAGTGTAGCCTACCTACCGTCTAGGGCTTTAGGGTGGTGGTCTCGCATCCATTTACGGTAATCTGCACATGAGTCAGTAGAATACAGAGTCACATGAGTAGAATACAGTCACATGAGTAGAATACAGAGTCACATCATCAACCAATGCACCAATGGATTGAGGAAGATATAGGTATGTGTGACCTTGGCTGGAGTTGAGCTTCTTCCACTGCAGATATGAGCCAGTAATGGCCGCCATCTCCACAGCTACAACTCCATACACCACAGCCCACTTGCCCACTCTCGTCAGAGGCATTACGTAAACGCGTGGGAAACGGGGCGTGGTTTACCCCGCCCACTAGCTGCGCACCAATTAGAATCGCCGCCGGACAATGGCGTTCAAGCTGCAGGACTTCGGAAAGGTGATTCTACCTGTTTTAGATGTCATGTTTATAGTCTCTATGGACGTGTAGACAACGTGGCGGGCAGTGGGACTGTTGTTCGTTCTCCTGCCGTTCTCCAGCTGCCTGTTCTACTGGTGTCGGAGTACCAACAGTCTGGGTGAGAGCAGCAACCTCTTGTCTCTCTCATATCATTCCTCCTCCTCTCTCTCCGTCTCCTTCAGCTCTCTCCTCCTTTGCCTACCTCACCCTCTTCAACATTGGAAGGTCAGTTGCCATATTGAGAGGATGTTTCCTGACCTCTGACCCCACTCAGTCTGCTGACCTGTGCTCTGTCTGTCTTGGTCTCAAAGCAGCAGCCTACTCCCAAGTTCTCTTATGGGTACTTACATACATTCTCTTGTAATACATCAGAAGCCTATTCTTTTGCAGTAGATCCATGAAGCCCGTTGGTACCATAATTTATCATGTCCACAAGTTTACATTTGTTTGAGGACTATATACCAAGATGATATCGTTGCACTGGCACCATACCTCCTCAGGTTGATTTGTGTGTCTGTGTTGATTGCGTTAGGTTGGAGAGACTGAACGTTCTGGCCGTGTTCTCCACCACCATCATCCTCATCCTGGCTGGCCTCAATCAGATCAAACTGTGGTATGCCTCCATCTCTCTCTCTCACAACCCGTGGAGGTGAGCCAGCTGTCTTCCACTGCAGCTCCGAAAGACTGTTTGACCCTCCACAAGTCTCCACGTTAGCCATCTCTCCTCTTCCCTCTTATTCCTCTGTTCTCTTCTTTTTGAGCTTTTTTTCATTTTCTTCCACTTTTTTTTTAATTCCCAGTTGTCCTCTCTCTCCTGCTCCAGAGACAACATGTTGCTGGCAGTGGTTCTCGGGCTGACACTGCACCTGACAGTGATGTTGATGGTTGACAATAAACCTCTGGCGCATGCTGCTCATGGTATATACCTACGGTCTCTCTCACTCCTCAATAATCTCTTCTTCATTCTCCTCAGCTGCCACTCCTAACTGGCTACAGAGCATGTTGAATGATGTGGGACATAGGTCAGTAGGAACTTATCCATTCTCATGCACATTTTTCTTGGGTTACTATCAATAATTTTGTAAAAGTTTACAGATTTGTGCTGTTTTAGACACGTTTCTACTGTTTCTCTGGTGGTTCATCATGTCTTGCAGTGTTGGTAGCATGTTCCCTGGTCTGGGCCATCTCCTGCTGCTGAGACTCAACCCAATCTCTCTCCTGGCACTGGGGCAGAGTCTCTCCGTCCTCACGGCCAAGATCTTCATCGACTTTGAGTGAGTCTCTGTCTCCTCTCTTCCTACACGTACCTCTGTGTACTGGCGGTACCCCCAGTGAGCTGTATCTGGCTGATGTGGCTGGAGCCCTCTTCAACACAGCTCTCATCTGTGGCACGATGCTTCCTCTCTCCATCTACTGCGGCAAGATATTACTCCAGGTACAAACCATACTATCTCCCTTTACTCCTTATCTTGTCCTGTTTTTTACCCTCTTACTCCCTCACCAGACGGCACCTGAGCATTTACTACCACTTCTGGACAAGTCCCTGAGGGAGGTGTGTGTGTGTGTGTAAGAGAAACACATGCCCCTGTCAATGTGTGCGATGGTTTTCAGGTGTCAGCTCTAGATGGAGTGTTGGAGCTGAAGGGAGAACACTTCTGGACTATAGCATTTGGCAGCTACGTGAGTACACGTGTATACCACTATAATAATACAGCTCCTTCCCTGAGTCCCCTATTCAGTGTGTATACACTGCATGAACCTCTATAGGCTGGGTCGGTACATGTGAGGGTGCGGAGAGAAGCTGATGAACAGGTGAGTCCATTAGCGTTGAGAACACACTTTCACACAAATCTACATCTGCTAGTTTGCTCGGCTTGTTTCACAGCACTTAGAGGGCATTGTACACGTCCAGCTTTTGTGAATCAAAAAATAAACTGCGAGAATTTAATTAGACAGAGTCTATAAACTAAATGTAGGGTTCAGGCAGACTTGTTTGCACAATCATTTGTATGTTGGATGTTGTGTGTTTACAGGAGGTGCTGTCACAGGTCCACTCCTGCCTCTCCAGTCAGATCAACGACCTCACTGTACAGGTGGTGAAAGACGACCTCATCATTCCCACAGCCCCACCCACTAACATTCCAGTGGGTGTGGTCTCCCCCACCCTCCCATGCCCACCTCCTCACCAGACTCACTCTCACTCTCACTCACACTCACACTCTCATGCAACACCTCACAGTGTTGTGGTCAATCTGTAAAAAATTTACGAATCCAACAAATTTTGGTGAGCAATAGAGTCGTGGGGACTGACACCATAGGTGCCGGGTTCGAATCCTCGATCCCTCGCTAAAGTGTCAGGTGGTCCAGAGCATTGGCTGGGAACAGCTCTGGTTCCTCCCCTTACCCACAAATCTACCACTGACCCACGTTTCTCAAAGGGCAGCGTACAGTTCGGCATAGCACTGCGTCCGTAGACGTCTGTCTGGAGAGATGAAGGGCTGGGCGTTTTTTTACATTTTTTTCAACCCTAGGTTTTTTTTTGCACTAAACAATCCACAGGTAATACGAAAATTAATAGAGAGATGAAAGGTTGGCAATTTTTCTACCTTATATAATTTTTTGGCCTCAAACAGAAATGGGCTGGCCATTTTTTTCAACCTATTGAAAATAATCCATGGAAATAGTGCATAACATGCTGTTCTATGGTCAAGACCATCAATTGTGGTGGTGCTATACTACCACTATATAGTGTGCCGAGGGTTTGCACTTTAGTGCTTTTCATTCATGATGTCATTATGACAAAAGATCATCTAAAATGTCGTCCAATTCGTCTTTAGTTGGGATTAGAGAAGGTTCAATAGCAGGCACCAGAGAAGGAGGGGTAGGCGATGATGATGATATAGGACTAGGTGGAGGCAGTGTGGCACCAGAGGAATCATTACGTGGGTGTGATTTCACGCCAGCAGGAGGAGAAAGAGAATCTGTAGAGAAATGTGGAGGAAGAGAGTCCAGACCAGGAGGAAGTGGGTGTGGTCTTTGCCGAGAGCTAGAGAGCAGGAGAGAGTCCAAACCAGAATCAGATCGTACGTCGGCACAGGTTTGCTGAGCCTCAGTCCCCAGCGACGGCTGCTGCCTACCAACAATAGTCTTTTCAGGTGTTCTGAAATCAAATGATTGTTTCGCAGTGTCTTTGGCTCTGGAGAGGAGAGATTTTACTACGTCTTGACCCCCAGGGACAAGGTCACGAGGGGGTGGAGTCTGCTCGAATGAGGCCCCACCCACCTCAAGATCTGTCTCATTCACTCCATACTGCTCCAGTAACTGAGGTGAGAGGTCAAGTCTCACATGTACTGGCAGGTCACTCAGACTCTCTGCAAATTCCGCCACGCCCAGAGAGAGAAATCCCCTCTCTCCCTCTATCTCTGTCCCCCAGTGGGTGTCCTTTCCCTCCTCTGTCCCCCAGTGGGTGTTCTGGGGAGCAAGGGGAAGATCTAGCAGCTGAACCAGCCTCTGCTGCAGCTGCTCCTCTGTCTCTGGAGAGAAGGTCGACACCTCCTCATCACCTGGAAAGGTAGTGAGCAATAAGAGAGGGAGGGGCACAATGACTTACTGCGATCGTATCTGTCCCAGTTGCTTGCCAGCTTTCTACGTGAATACTTCCTTGAATCTTCAGACCTGCTGTCTCCCTGAACATGGTGGTCAGCAGCCTTCTCCACTGCCAGACCAGAGACAGGACTCCCATCTCTCTTTTCCTCTCTTCTCGCCCCACCCTGCTGCTGTGGTGCCTTGTTCTGCAGGGCTGAGCTCTCTGAGTGCTCTTCCTTCTTCCCTCCTCCTTCGCTCTGAGTCCGTCCCTTGGCCTCGAAATGTTTCTTCTTGAACTGAGAACTTCTCTTCTTCTGACGTTGACTGTGAGCCATGCTGTTTTTTGTTTAACCCTTTCCTCACTCGATCCCGCAAACAAGGGGTTAACGGTAAAATTCTCTTCCACGAGATCGATGGAGATCCGAAACGAGGTGTCCTTTCAGCTGGAGGGGTTGCGGCCGGCCCAGCTCTGCGCCCTGCCCGCCCAGGGCTCCATAGTGGTAGTGGGCTCCGCGGAGGAGCTCCAGTGTCTGGATCTTACTTCCAGAACACTACTGAACACCACGAGTAAGACACGCACTCTAACTTCTGTTTCCTCTAGTATTATACACTATGCTAAGTCAATCCGTGGCTGTTCAATTGTTTTTGTGATACTGTAGTGTGATGTGCATTCTGAAAAAAGAACGTGTTGATATTTACACTCCTGTCTTTTCTCTCAGGACCCGAGCCAGCTCCGTCGCGACTACTCTGCTGTCACCACGAGAGATCAGGGAAGCTGGTGATGGTGGGAGGAGGGAGACTGGGAGCCCGGGGACCCATTGGAGGCTCCATGATGATAAAGACTCTTCTCCAGCCAGCCAGAGAGGATATGGAGGACTCCGTCTCCATAGAGCTTTCTCTCTCGGAGGCAAGACCTGCATTTTGCTCTATTCTTCATTCTGCATCAAACACAATTCATTTTCGAACTAGGCAGAGGTGTTGTGGACTGAGCTGGAGAGGCAAGTCCTCCCCAGGAACTCTGACCTTCCAGCTGGGGCCAACAGCAAGCAGCTGACCTCCAGACTCGCCTCTGTTACCGCCCAGCTAGCCAGAGAGGTTCGCAGAGCCCTCGACAGAGAAGGCAAACAACCAGCAAACAAGGTACGTGTACTTTTCTGAGTTAGACAAAGATTTTCTAGTATCTCTCTCCGTTTCCAGTGGTGTACTGTGTCGTTTGAAGGTCCAGTTCAGCAGCTGTTTTCCCTCTTCGAACATCTCCTGAATCGACTCCGGGCAGTCCGGAGCCAAGGATCCTACACTTGCCCCTCCTCCTCTGCCACTCCATCTCCGGCCCTGCCTGTACTGGCAGCCGTCTGTCTCAGGCTCCGCCTCCTGCACCCTGACCTCTGCTCTCCGCTGCAGCAGCTGGCCGAGGGACGAGAGATGAAGGAACAGAAGCTGGCAAACTGCGAGGCAGTCCGGAGACTTAGCCTCAAGAGATGGCCTCACAAGGACTACCTGTACGTCACCACCCACTCTTGTCTGTCTGTGTGTGTGTTTGTGTACGTGTGTGTGTATGCATGCATCCGTTTCTGCATGTGCATGGTTTCACATCAGTTCTCCTTACCTCTCTTCCATTTCTCTTTCTCTCTCTCCTCTCTCTCTTCACTTCTCTGTTCTCTCTTCTCTCTCTCTCCCTCTCAGGTGGGCAGCTCCGTCAGCCATGGCGGAGGCAGGTTTCTTCCAGGTGGCCAACAACCCACCTCACCTGGCCACGTCAGCTGTGTTCAAGGGAGACAGAGTGACCTGTTTTGCCTGTCACGTCTACCTGTATAACTGGGAACCTCACGATGAGCCGTGGTCCGAACATGAGAGACACGCCTTCCAGTGCCCCTTCATGAGAGGAGACCCTACTGAGAATGTTCCCCTCGAGGGTATGTCCCTGCTCGTTACCAGGGGCGATAGAGAATAATGGGAGGAATAGCTAGTGTTTGCAAACAGCGAGACTGTAAAACCAGTTTTTCACGGTTGACTACATGTCAGTCATTATTGTGAGATACTAAGTTGAGAATTACCTCCACTGTCTGCTTTCTTGTGAATGCAAGAACAGCTATATATACATGAGATTGAATTCTGTGTTAATGAATAGTCTCTCTCTGACCATACGTATTCCTCCCTCTCTCTCTGACCATACGTACATATTCCTCCCTCTCTCTCTGACCATACGTATTCCTCCCTCTCTCTGACCAATTCCTCCCTCTCTCTCCCTGGCTGTCCTCTACCAGTGACTGAAGGGAGTCATCCAGCTGTACAGGTAACTGCTGAGTCGGCAGACGAAATTACGACCATCGCTGTCTCGCCACATTCCAACCTGGTTGCCGTGGCTACCAGACTAGGCATCCTGAGTATCTGGGACATCGGTGGGAGTCTGTGTATCCTGGTACGTCGTCATAGTAACGTGGGGGGCACCCTATGTACATAATTATGTGACATAATATATTGTTTACAAACACATGATTTATTGTTGGACTTCCTTCCCTGATATCCAATCAGCTTTCATGATGTTGTAACAAATGATGATCTAATTTGTGGTGATGTAATACCTGATGATGTCATTCTCCCCCTAGCCTCATGCACAGCTGAGACTGGAGAGGAAGTCCCTTCAATCAGTGTTGCAGGCCCACTACCCCAGAGACAGAGCTCCTGAGGAGATAAGCAGTTTCTCAATCACCTCTCTCTCCCTCCTCTCCTTCCCCGACGTCTCCCCCAGCACCCTCATCACCGCACTCACCTCCACCACTCTCTCAGGCTCCACCCACTCATTTATCCTCGTCCACTCCGTGTTGGCTCCGCCCCCTGCCCCCCAGGACCCTCTGACCCCCACTCCACAAGAGGCTGACCCCTCGCAACTGATTCCCCTGCTGGAGCATGACAAGTTGTTTAACCTTGACCCCTCCCCGTCCACTCCTCCCCTCCTCTCCCACCTCACCACCGGCACAGATGACACTCACGGCACACACCGAGGTGGCTCCCTCACTCTCCTCTCCCTCCTCCCCATCTCCACCCTCCTCCCCGATCTCCATGGCAACCTGGAGGTGTGGCAGACACACCCACTGCCTACCTCGAGATTGCTGGCAGTGTATGTTGGAAGGCCACGCCCACCTAGTTCCACAGAGGTCAAAGATGATATAAATGATGGTCCATTTGGGTGTCTGATGATGTTGAAATGTAATGAGGCAGAAGAAGGGGGTGTGTCTTCTGTGCCTGAGGTGAGACGAGTGACAATGGCGGAAGAGGAGGGCATAGTGGACATGTGTCACGTTGCCATGGGAGACAGCGGTGCCATGAGAGAGACGTTGGTTGTCGTGACAACAGGGGGAGATTTTCAAATTCTAGACGTGAACTCACTACAGGTTAGGAGATCATAGGAAATGTATATGTAAAATTTTATTGAGGGTGGAGCTTTACAAATTAAGAAGAAAAAAGATTGTTGGTCCAGCTTACAACAGAACCTGTTCAAAAGTAATCTGCTCTGATAAAAAATGTGACATGTTCTGCAGGTGATGGCTGTTCACATGTCAGCTGGTGGGTGTGGCTTCACTCTCTGCACCGCTTGGAGTTCTTCCACTGGCAGCTGGGTTGCCGTGGCAACCAGAGAGGGGAGTATGGAGGTTGTGAGGGTGTGTAGAGTGGGGGGAGGAGGAGCAGGGGGAGAAATTCAAGTGTCACTCATCAGCCAAAGTAAGACACGGTCTCTAAACACCCAATGTTTGGAGAGTTGAGCAGATTTTAGATAATGTACTCATGGTTGCTGCAGAGTGTGAGATGGAGAGGTTGAGTTGTCCTCTGTTGGATCAGCTCCTCTCACTGACAGAGACCTCGCCAGTGGGTGTGGTCTTCTCCGCCCCCTCCCCTCCGCAGTGGCGGGAGATCAGTCTCCAGCAGTTCCATCGCAAGGTCCCCACCCACATGCACAGTGGGCGGGGCTCTGGAGACCACACCCACCACACCCGGGTGTGGCAGTATCTCCCTCCCTCTTCTTCCACCACCCGACCAATCAGGTGAAGTCTCAATGTAGTCAGAAATTTGTCAAAGTTGCATTGTGGATTGCACAATAACTCAGTTTCTTCCTGACATTTTGCGCAAGTTTATTGATAACTCATCTTTTGCTACTCAGTGGTGACTTTACATTTGAGGTGTGTCTGCCATCTGCCTGTCCTCCGCTGGGTTGTGTGAGTGTCTGTCTGTCTCTGCCGGCGCCTCGATGTATTGGAGACTCAGCAACCCTCTCCCTCCTCCTTCCTCTCCCTCATCATCGTGACGGAGGAGAGGCGACAGATGAGAGGAGGACCGAAGCTCTGTGTGGACCCATCTCCCTCAGACCTCTGGTTGATGTGACTGGCTGTGTTGTACAGGTGAGAGGGCATCTCCTCCAACAGCACTAACATGGGACGTTGTGCTATGGCAATAGCTGTACATAATAATTAAAAATCCTGCAAATTTCAAAAATAGGCTGTAGGGATGGTGTAACTAGAAAGGGAGACAAGATACGGATGGGATACATGAAGCATGGTCAACGAACAGATTTGAGCACGCTGACACCCCCGACCCCATCACACAATCCCTATCTTTTTGCCTAGGTGAAGTATTAAACCTTCACCAATAATATGTATATGGTCAAATTGAAAGTCTTTGCAGTTCCAGTAGTTGTTTGCTGTTCCTTGCAGGTTTCCCTTGCCCATCCTCTCCTCCTCTCCTCTCCTCCACCCTCCCTCCTCCTGAAACTACAACACTTGTTCCCCACCGACTATTCCAGCGTCGTCATGGCAACTGCCGAGGCCCACACACCTACACTGACCAAAGTGATCCGTCGTCGTGGTTACATGACAAGGCATGTGGGGGGAGGACCCTATCGACTACAGCAGCAAACGAGTGGGAGGAGTCGAGCAGTTCCTGACCAGTGTTACCTCGGTCTCTCACTCTTCCCTCTCTCCCTGGAGGGAGATGGTGCCACAGATCAGGACAACATGGCTGCCAATCGGGACACGATGGTGGATAATCAGGACAAGAAGGATGCCTCGGATCAGGACAACATGGCTGCCAATCGGGACACGATGGTGGATAATCAGGACAAGAAGGATGCCTCGGATCAGGACAGAATGGCTGGCAATCAAGAGGAGGAGAATGTCGCAAATCAGGATAAACTAACAACCGACCAGGACACTAATTATTCCTCAGTTGAGGACAGAGACCCTAGTCCTGGTGCGGTGAAACTCTCCATGACAGACCTGCTGAGACTGAAAGACAGCAGAGACTTTGTTCTAAACCTGGTTCTGGGAGCCTGTCGGTACCGGGTGGTGAGTCAGGAGATGGTGACCCTGCCACAGTCCCTGCAGACGTTGGTGGAGGGTGCAGGGAGGGAGGGAGGGAGGGAGGTACAGGTGAGGAGTCTCAGACTGCTGTGCTGGCTGAGTCGTCTACTGGCTGCAGCCCCAGAGAGGGAGGAGGTAGAGACTGTGAGGGAAGCAGTGAGTCAGCTTCTCCTCTCTCTCCTCCATGCCTGTTTCCTGACCAGCCACACCCGCCAGACAGCTCACTACTGCTCCAGACTTCTCGTCTCTCTCTTCAGGTCTGTCTGTGTGCAACTGTAGGGGGCTGCATACCGGAATTTTGGCAGTGAAAAAAACAGGTTAATGAGTGAGAAACTCGTTGGTAAGTAAATGGGGTTTTAATTCCACATCTCCTCTTTCCACCAAACATAACTATGTGTGGCATATGTAGTGTTTCATTCTCAACACAATCTTTCCTCTATTTCTTCCTCCGTACCATCTCGCTGACCACAGTGGAGAGGAACTGCCGCAGAGCTCAGCCGACTTCACTCACAGTCTCCTGCGTTCCTTCCCTCTCCTCATCCCTCTCCTCCCCCTCGCACCCTCCGCCGCCTGCGCCCAGTGGCTCCTCAGACTCGTCTCCATGGTAACAGGAAGGTCACATGATTGTCATGTGATCCTGCAGCAGTGTCTGGTGGTACTAGTGGAGTTGGCCAGACAGCTAGAGGCAAAGGGTGGAGCTCTTTCTCAGCAACTCCATGCCAAGTGAGTCTTGTAGCTAGACAATGTACCATGGTTTCCCGAGAACAACAATGATTTACCATTAATCTTCCTCTGTAAATAGTTATTCCATGTGCAATGGTGAAAATTCCGAGAACATGGTTTTTGATGAATGGTTTGGGGTTTTCGGAGTGTTATCCTTCAAAAATTACTGAGTGGTTCACTGATGATGAACAATAATTTTTGTGTTCCTCTCTCACCAGCTATGTCCACGATGCGTCGGTTCTGGATCAATGGCTGTTCGACGTTCCTCTCTCCTACTACCAGAGGTCCAGTGTCCCCCTCGCCTCGCTCGCTGACAAGACCACACCCACCCCTGTACCCCATCCCGCTCAACCCTCCCTCGCTCCCCCATTCCCTCATCCCTATGGCTACGCACACCCAGCTGGTGCCACACCCCCTCCTCCGCAAACTTCCTCACTTCTCAGGTCCTTCCTCGGGGGCACCCCCCGGGGGGCCAAACTCCACCCCCCAGAACGGAGGTTCGTCCCCACAGGTCGTTGTTACCGACAAGAAGCACCACACAATATACGACGCTGAGCTCAAACTGCTCCTCGGGCCCCCGGCTTCCTCACCAGACGCCATCCGAAACATGCTCGCCGAGTTCCCTCCATTTCACCACGGGTCCTTCCTCCTCTACCCCCAGCGAGGTCTTCTAGAGACACTCCCTCTGGAGTACTCCTGTTACTCCGTTACTCCAGATGCCAGCGTCCGAGAGCCAATGTATCGCAGTCTCCATTCCCTCTCCTCTCCCTCCTCCTCCTCCTCCTCCTCTCCATCTCTGAAGTCAGAGAAGACGAAAACCTCGGGCTACTTTTACCCAACGTCTCCAAGTACATTCCCCTCCTCTCACTCCTCCTCCCTGTCCTACAGGACACCCCACCCCTGTCCTAACGACCTCGTTAAGTCGGAGATTATCCCGCGAGAACTGGTGTTGGTGATAGACTCCCTCCAGTCGGGGAAGGTGTATTCTGCGGTGCTGCAGTTCAACCAGCCGGTATACCTGACCGACCTGAGCATCTCCACCAATGCAGCGGTGGGTTGTGTGAGTGTGGAGGTGTGGAGAGGGGAGGGAGGGGAGGGGAGAGCGGTGCGGGTGGCTCAGTCCACTGAGATTCAGGAGAGGAACCTCATGTTGGGGAACATCAGCCCACCTCCTCTCTGCCAGTTTATCAGGGTGAGTAGTCATCACTCTGTCAAGTTAACAAATTGTGTTATCTCTCTGTCGGTGTACAGGTGACCTACACGGGAAGACTGGGAGCTGCGAGAGAGAGAGCCCAGGTGTTCCTCGGAGCCTACTACGGCGTCCCTCTCCTGACCCCCCAAGACCCCCAGGGGCCACAAATTCTGCCCCCTATAGAGCAGGTCCTGCTCTCCAGGTATCAGGAGACGAGACAAGACCTTGTGTCGGCCCTGAAGACCGCTGGCGAGGATCCTCACGACAAGGAACGCATTAGGGAGAAGTACCAGGCGTGTTTCCTGGCACAAACAAGGCTCGCAAGACTCAGACACTACATGAGAGCCGTGGGGGAAGCCCCTAGCGTAATTGGCGGGGTGTTCAGTCTTCAGGAAGCAGCTGCCGCAGTGGACTACTCATCTCTGTCTCGGAGCCAGATGTACCGACTGGCTGGTTGCCTGGTGAACACTGTGTTGATCCTGGCTGGTCCCGGGGAAGAGAGACAGGGGGACACCGCTGTTTTTACTGGTAACAAACGACAATATTAACGTACAATGTTTGGCTGAAATACTCCTCATTGTTTGCACTGTGGAAACATCGGACAATACTTCGTTACTCAATTCCTGTATGAAGTGAATCGTGGTTTTGGATGTGCTCCAAACAATTCGTAACAATTTTTGTGTAGAAGATACTATAGATGCTGTCTCCTGCACTTGTTGTGTCCGCAGCTCCCCTGGCTGGAGACCAGCTGCCTCACGTGACAGAGGAGGAGTGCCGGCTGCTCTTCTCCTCTTTCTGTGTCCACGGCGTCCTGAGAGTCCAGGCCAGGGCCTGCGCCCTCCTCCTGCGGCTGTGTGGGGCACAGCCTTGGTGGGGGGAGATGGTCGTCTCCACTGCCTCCGGATCCTTTCCCCCTCCCTCCCCCCTCCCCCCCCTCCCCTTCCCTTCTCTCCCCCCCCCTCCCCTCCCCCCCCCTCCCCCCCCCCTCTGGGCCTCCCCCCCCTCCCCCCCCCGTTCCCCCCCCCCCGTCTTTTCCTCCCGCTCCCCCCCCTCTCAACGCCATCTCCTCCCCCCCCCCCTCCCCGCAACAAAACACCTCCTTCAACAAGAAAAGGTGGGGAGGGGTGTATATATCACTGTATTCACCTGATTTCCTCTCTCTCTCTCCGTCCTCTCTATCCAGAGTGTTGCTGCAGCTGTCAGCTCTTTGTCAGAGAAGTTCGCACCACAGTTCGGTCATCACCAGTCTCCTCCACACCCTCTCCTCCCTCCTCCCTCCCTCCCCCACCCCCACCGCTGACCCACAGCTACGCTGCCTTCTCCTCCTCCTCAGCCACGTGTGGAGAGCCACCTCTCGCTCTCCACAACTCCAGCAATCCACACTCCCACACAACACACCAACAAAGATCCTCATCTCTTTAGCACAACAAACCACACCGACTCCTGTACCTGATGGGTATCTGAGAGATCCAGGAAGCCAACGCTAGAATTGGGCGAAGGAGGTCTGCCACACTCTGCATTCTCCCCTACAGCTGCGACACGTCCCTGCAACCCACTCAGCACCACACTATGTGACGACATACGACGAGCGCTCGTCGCATCTGCTCACATGACGTCCTCCCTATCAAAGATGAGAGACTGGCTCCAGCTCGAATGTCTGCAAGTAAGTAACATATCACTTTAATAAACGCTCTCGGCCTGGCGCGTCTCAATGTGGAATTACACTGCGTTCGCCACATATTGGTTCGGTCATTACTTCATCTGTGTCGCTGTCATGCTCAGGTACTGTTCCTCACGATACCCACTGCCTGGTAAGTATTATGACATGTGTACACCCCATGTATACGCACACTGATGCACAACTGTAAGGATCCCGTTCTCTGGTTGTTTACAGCTGTGTTCATCCTGACTGAGTTGTCGCTCGCCCCCTACCTGCTCGTCCCTCCCTCCGCACGTGCTCACAATCTCACACTTCTCCCTCCACCGCACTCATCTCCCCTCTCCTTCCGCACCGCGCCCTAGCGAACGAGCTCGCAACCAGCGTGGGCGTGTGCAGGCAATATCTGGATGGTGATGTCTCTGTGCATTTGGTCACGCGGGCTCCCCTGTGGAGTGGGGAGGAGAGGGGAGCGGTCGCAGGTGGAG